ACTTTTTATACCCACGGCCCGCATAGCTATTGCCATGCATTCACATATTTCTGAGTAATATAAAAATAGGGTAAAATCGAAATCAGTACCATCGTTTTAGAGAGTTATTCTAATTAAAAATACTGTATATTTTTTTCTAAATAAACATGACTGTTAGTATGGTAATTTCAAAATTAAATATTACGTTTTCAGCCTATGTGTTTTTAAAAGCAATTTTTAATATCACTGATAAAAATGTTTTAAAATTAAGCTAATTATTTCTATTTCACCTTACCATAAATACTAGCTGTGTTTCATGTTGTGTTGCCCTGTCGTGCTTTATTTTAAAATAGGCACGTGAAAAATCAATCGATTTATAGTTTTAAAAGAAGTATTTTTTAAACTATAATGTTAGTATTATTCTAATATTTTTTTTTATTAAACGGTCAAACTTATCACTAAAACTGTCGAATTTTCGAATAAAAAATAATTTTAGGAATTCAAAAGCAAAATATAACAGTGGTAGCTAACCGTCTTTTCAATGTTTATTATTTTAGTAAAGAATCACTTTTAAAATTATAACTTAAAAATATTTATGATTTCTAAATTATTTCGAAATCTGACTAGGAATTAAAAATCCTACTATATCATGCCGTGCTATATTAAATAACAAAAGCGCCTAAAATTTCATCACTGTTACAGATAATGATCGCGGACCGCAGATTGAGTAGGGCTGGGACTAACGAATCATGTCGTATTTATCTATTGTTATGCACAAACTCTTGATTGCGGTTTTTACTGATTAATTTCTTCTATTGAAAGTTATACACATTGGCCTTCTATTTGACAACCCTAACGAGAAATAATGGTATTATAATTGTACGACTTTTTTTTTAATTTTGTTATCTTGAGGAAATGTAATGTAATGTTAATGTAATTATATCAATCAATACATATAAGAAAATCGTAACTGGTCGCTGTCTGTACATGAAAGATATATAAGAAAAAATATTAAAGGGGGGCTTTATGAACGCAATTTTTTTTAATACAACTTAGAATGGCAAACAAGCTGTCGGCCCACCTGATGGAAAGTGGTAACCGTCGCCTATAGACATGAGCAGTACCATGGACATAACAGAGTATACCGTTTCGCCCTTTGATACCCCCATGCGTTGCCATTCCTGAGGACTCGGGTGTTATTCCTCTGTACTCTGTAAAATCACGCCATATCCCACCTTTCAAACCGAAACACAGCCATGCAAACACTACTGCTTCATGGTTGAAATACGATTGGGTCAGAGGTCGTCTCTTATGAGGCCCACGGAAAAGGAAAAAGTGGCCCATGCCGGGACCACACGGTGGAAGGCGGTTTTTTTTTATTACTCACGATCAAATCTCCAATCTTGTTCTTAGCAGCAGTAGCTAAGGATGATGTCTGTACCGTTCTAATATCAATGGGTGGGGGGAAAAGGATTGTTAGTAATGGAGACTGAGAATCCTATTGCTAGCAATATACCCAACCAGGTCGACCTCCTCGCGGTTCCCCCTGGAAACTATCATGGTAAATTCCTGATGAATTCATCATAATGGACTAACTGACCTGTTTTCATTCTTATCGATCACCCTTCACTGGTGCCCCGCCAGCGTATCCCGTTAGCGCAGGCGGGGTTGCCATAACATTTTCAACCATCAAAAAAAATATCAATGGGTTCCTCTAGACGTCAATGGTGGAACAACAGCTCATCACCCGTTTTAACGTTGACCCTACTAATCGAATATCTATATTCATTTTAATTGAAGTCTTCATTTTGACCCTAAAGCCTAGCCGCGGTTGCCATCCCTGCTGCTAAACGTGGTAACTACTGGCAGAACCTTCCCTTATGGGAGAGAACTATGTTCAGTAGTCGACAGTTAAAAGCTGATACGATACTTCATTTAGGATATATTTGATATTGAATATATATATTAAATATCCAATATATCCTAAATGATATTTAATATATCCTTTATTGGTTTTATAGCTGTTATAACTACAATATATATGTAGATATTGCTATGTATCGCCCACCCCCGAGTACTGTTTCAAGAAGCCATCACTCACGTGCTATTTACTTAAACAATGCAAAATCGCTCTTAGTCCAATCATTACAAAGTAGATAATTAAGCAACGTCAATTACCAAGGAAAGACTTAACTTTCCAAAGTTTTTTATACGACTTCCAAAACAAGGAAATTCTCAATTGATTTTTTTTTCCAACTACGTTACGGACGACTACGTCACTGCTTCTGAACCAATTTTCACATTTCATTTCGCAATCGACTGAGTTTACTCCCGTGACGGTCCAATATTAATTTCATGACGATTGAAACTGCTTTTTTTTACTAAGCAAAAAACTATTCGTTCGGAAATATCTACTTTTCAAACGACTTCAAATAAGGAGGAAAATCCTTATTTGTATTAGATATTTTCAAGGGAGCGATTTGGTTGTATTTTTTTTTGCCGACCAACATCTTACTAATAATATAAAATTGTAACTAGGCAACGTTTGTACATGAAAGATATTTAAGAAAAAATAATATGTGTGGGGTTTTAATAAGACTAATATATGATAAAACACAAATATTAAGGAATTTGGTCTGTCTGTATATTTGTTCTGAAGAACTACTGCACTAGCTTCAAATCTGGTATATATTTCATATTGATAAGCCATGTAGAAATTGTTTATTTCCATTAATTTACCTACTTTTATAATCCACGCTTAAGTAGTAGTCGATAAAAACTAATGTACTTGTGTAATTCAAGTTTTGGACGCATTGCGCTTATTTCCTTATAAACCACAATCCACCGAATAGATGTCTACCCTTCTATATATACAGAAGGATTGATGTTTTATTGCCCGAACGGCCGCCTTCACTGCAGTGTTATTATCCCCAGGGAAGCGGAACCTTTTTGCGCTGCGAAATTTCACAGACAGAACGTGTTTATAACTGTTGCCATGAGGAGTAAATATTGCTGTTAAGTTTTGTTGCTAAAGTATATTGCATATAGGAATAAGTAATGGAACATACAAACTAGCGATCCGCCCCGGATTCGCACAGGTAGGTACAGAGCAATATAAATTATTATTTCATACGGGCTTTAATACGACAGTTTTTTTTTTTTTTACATTATGATAATTTTTGTAGGGATCTCTAATTTCTTTTAATATAATATCATCTAATATAATACGATTTTTTTATATTATACTTATATTATACTTAATATATACTATACTATACTTATACGTACTTATACATATATACTATACTTATATTATACTTAATTTAATATAATATAATATATAATACCTATGTTACTCGCTGATAGCTATGAGAAGCTAGAAATGTAGCTAAAACAAGTAAAAAAAAAATTTTATTAGTTTTAATTAATTTTTGAATTTATCCATTACAAATAAGCATATAAAAATTAAAACTTTTCGCTTTATTATATTGGTATATGTATAGACAATTCCGTTTCGTACAAGAAACTAACGCCTTTTTATTACTCATAAAATAGGGTCTATTGGCAACGGTATCACGTATCTTTGGATATCTTTTTTTTTTATACAACTTAGAATGGCAAACAAGCTGACGGTCCACCTGATGGAAAGTGGTAACCGTCGCCTATAGACATGAGCAGTACCATGGACATAACAGAGTATACTATATCGCCCATGATACCCCCCATGCGCTGCCATTCCTGAGGACTCAGGTGTTATTCCTCCGTACGCAGTAAATTCACGATATATTCCACCCTTCAAACCGAAACACAGCCATGCAAACATAATTGCTTCACGGTTGAAACACGAATGGGACAGAGGTACCCAAGCAATCGACTTTTGTGCAAAGTTTCCTCAATTAAAGAGTCTTATTCCTCTAAATGTTTATTCAACAGGTAAAATTCAAAATCCAAGTTATTTTGGAAAACATAATTGTTTAACTAGACACGAAATTGAAAATCTTATAAAAAGTTTCACGAGATCACTTATGCGTAATCCTAAATCCTGTATCTACGTAGAAATGCTGTATCTTGTAAGATTTGTAAGGGCTTTTTATATTAAAACAAGAAACTAAAAGATAATATAAACTTTACAATAAGGAAAATTTGTACAAATCGTCAGCATCCATATTTTTTTTTATTATGGGTGATAATGAAATAGTAGCCCCACCCGCGCTACGGTATACGCTGATAGATACAGTGAAGGATGATAGATGAGGATGAAGCGGGTCAGTTAGCCCATCGTGACGAATTCAAAAATAATTGTTCACGATGGTTTCCAGGGGGAACCACGTGGAGGTCGACCCGATAGGGCATACCGCCAGCAATGGGGCTGTCAAACTCCATTGCTAATAATCCCTTTCCCCCCAGCATCCATATTTGTCTCGCCTATTTATTCTACCTATTATTAAGTCGTATTAAAACCCTCCCTAAAGGGGAAGCCCTATGTCCAGTAGTGAATGGTTAAGGGCTAATATGATGATGATCATTGTCATCTTTTAACTGTCCACTGCTGAACATAAGCCTCCCCCTAGTTTTTTTTTTAAGTTTGTTTAGTTTTTTTAAGGGGGGTTTTGCTAGTAGTTGCAACGCTTGGCAGGCGGATTAACAACCGCAGTTGGACTTTGGAGATGTTTTGAGAGGGACGCTATATTACCCCTCCCTCGCCCTCCTTTAGTCGCCTCTTATGACACCCACGAGAAAGAAAGGGGTGGCCCATTCTATGCCAGAACCACACGGAATGATATGTCATCATTATATCTATCTATCATATATATATGATGATTATTATTAATTCGAGCATCTAATTTGGATATTTAAAGATATAGCAACTTTACTAAATACTTATAACTCATGTCTCGCCTAATAACTTAAGAGCGTTCTTAATAGCACTGACGATCCAGTGAGGTTGGTAGGTAACAGTACCTTTTTTTTTTTTAAATACTAAAGAGCTAAACTATAAGATTTAAAACTCATATTCTTACCTCCAACATATTTTACAGCCATCCAGACAAAAGTAAAAGTGCTGATATGGTGATAAATATGTAAGAATGACGCTTGCCGGTACTTTTTCCTCAGTATGTAGAACATGGTCTCCATCATTTCGAATATCTTGATAAACAGTGTCCACCAGAGGAAGCTCAGCATCCGCAGCGCTTCAGGGTTCATAGAGTAATCAGGGAGCATGCAACCGAAGTGGTAGGTGGTAGTCCAACCAGATGTCAAGATCTGAAATTTGCGTCTAGTTTTTATTGTATTCAAAATATGTCGCGCTTATTCTTATATTTATTAACGCCATCTAGTATTACGATGCAACAACGGTAATACTTTTGTTGCCATTAGATGGTGTTGTATTAAAGTTTGTTAAAAATAATTGAGCAATCTTATTTGGCTGTTTTTCCGCAAAAAAAAATTCCACTGAAATTCAAAAATTGCATATTTTTGAATTTCAGTGGAATTTTTTTTTATTCGAATCTTTAAAAAAGTTGATGAACCCAAAAAGTATTTTATAAAATGATTCCTTCTATATTTCGGGGGCGTTGACTTTTCTGTGATTTCAGATCAGTTGAAAGCACAGTTGAAATATCGACTGAGGTTGGGTAGGGATCGCATGTGCTGTCTCGCATCGCTCATTTAAAAATGTCTTTATTAAAAGGCGCTATAAAGTATAAAATAAAAATAATTCACGCGAGAACGGTGTTGATTTAGAAATTGTCACGTCAAAATTCGTCGTATTCGCATTATAATTTTAGAACACTTATTGACAAATGAATAGCTAAGCTTACACTATCTTAATTAATCCGTTGAAAGCGCCCTTCGCTTCACTTCATTAATTTTCCTTCGGAATGTTCGTTCACGCGCGTTGAACGATTATCAGTTTAGCCAAGTGTGGAAATAGCTGCGATTGATCATTGGCGGTGTTTAATTAATTGACTAGTTGTTTACCGCGGCTTGACCTGTGCGAACTCAAGAATTTCAAAGAGAAACTAAGTGGACATTAAAGAGGAACAGTATCCATATGTTTATAAAAAATAGCCTTAACGTTATAGCTGTATATCTTTTTTTTTTATTTAAATGGATGAAGAAGTAATAGAAGTAATCCACCGATGCTATTGGTTTACGTTTAAAAGGTGAAATCGGGTTAATTAATCTATGGTAACGAATTAACAACGATAATTTATGAGAGGACTGCGGCGTGTTGAACTGCCGAACATAAGCCATAAGCCTCCCCCTTAAAAGGTTTTGCCAGCAGGTGCCACGCTTGGCAGGCAGTTTAGCCAACGGTGTCCCATTCTATGCCGGGCTACACAGCCCATAAATATAGAAGATAAAATCATATTAATGTAACCAGATTTTAAGTTAGACCAAGGATTCCCAAACTTTTTTTGTCTACTGCCTACTTTGAGAATAAATTATTTTTTAGTGCCCCCATTTTTTCACCTACTTAAAAACCACTATTACTTCAAGATCAACAAACAAATCACCCCCAAGCCTCTACACAACGCCTCTATTATTTTCTGAGTCTCTTACCGCCTCCCTTTCGGCCTGCAGCGCCCACAAGGAGGCGTTATCGCCCACTTTGGGAAAGGCTGAGTTAGACGATCAGAAACACAACTGTGAAAAATCGCATCTAATTTGGTGCAGTAGACTTTGTTTGATGCCGAAACAAACAGACAGACAACATTTCTAAAAGTTATTATTTTACTTTAATATATTCCATGTACAGATATAGTCTAAAAAAAATGTTATCTATACAATAAAAAAATTAAAATGGAGATGGGCAGGACATATTACGCGAGAAAAAACATAAAAATGGACAACAACTGTAACAGACTGGTACACTAGAATAGACCAAAGAAGACAGGAAAGACTATTGACACGATGGGTTACAGATATAAAAGCAGTAGCAAGTGCGCTTTGGACAGGGATAGCCAAAGACAAAATAGAATGGAAGACTCTAGAGGAGGCCTTTGTCTTTGGACAAGAGAGAGGTGACAGAACAGTTACTGATTGAATATTAATTACATTGAATCGTTTATTATGTTACTTCTTTAATAAAGGCTTATATTATTATTATTATTACAAATATAGTCTAGTTACAATTTTATTTATTATATAAATAAAGTACTAGCAGCGTAATCTTTTTAAATCGTACGTAACTAACACCAACTCGTAATTGATCATTTAAATTACAAAAGGGTAACAGAGCGTCCATTAAAAATGATATCACAAGCAGTCGTAATTATCTAAAGAGATTGATCGATAACAACTGCATTAGTAAAATTGTAGCCTTGGCATTATGAACGTATACTCATCTGGACTAATATCCGGGGATATGTATAGCGAAGACGAAAGGTTTGAAGGATTTTTAAATGCAAATTGACATGATTTATCGATTAATCATTAATGTTTTGAGAACTGGCTTATACATTTAATATTAAGTTTAATAAATATTTTGTATGATTTTAAAAATACATTCAGGTCATGGTTAATAGTAATATACTTTAAAAAGGAAGACATTATTGACACATCTGTTATTTTAGCTTTAATAAGATTTTAGTAAAATTACAAGATTGGTCCAACTTACCCGACTTGACTTCAAACATTGTATTGCTTACCGTCAGGCGATTCGTAAATTTGTCATTTTCGTTACATATTTGTTTACTTAATCATGCTTAAATGGTCGAACAGATTTGAGCAAAATTTTGCAGACAAATAAACCATGTCGTACATTAACATATAGAAGAATTTTGTTCTAATCAACGTAAGCAACGCAGCGGGATACAGCTAACATACAGTCGTAATATTCAACTCCAAATGGTCAACACGTGCGTCAATGTTACATTCAGTATTATAAATTATTTATTTTATTTAAATTTTGCAGTAAGCAGTTGAGTTGTTAAAGTATTTTCACTAATATTGTACCCGGAAACTACAAAAATGTGATATGAACGACATGCTCATTATTTACGTACTATAATAGGTATGTGTTACATGTAAAGATACTGTATCAATGCCTCCGGGGGGTAAATCGGGCAACCGGTCGTTGCACAAGTCGAGGAAACGTCCACGACATTCTGAATGTATCGGATGACTTTATGGCGAGTGATAGCATCGAGCCACGCCCAGCCGTGCACTTTCATTCCTCGGTGTCGTAATGGGTGTACATTAGTCAGCTGCTGATTCACAAGTGTTAGGACGCGGATCTTCCATTTTTGAATTATGATAGGTTTTTTTTTTTTATTTTAAAAATGGAATGGTAATTCCGATCGCGTTATTGTTGTACCTGTAGTAAGTAGGTGAATTATACAGTCGAGATCTCCACGCGCCATCCCGGATAACTCCGTGGTTAAGACCTGGTGAATTCATCACGACTGATCAACTGTTCTTTATTCTCACTACTACCACTTGGAGGGAAGCTATTTTTGGTTTTTTTTTTATGAATGATAATGGAATGGTAATCCAGCCTGTGCTATCGGTGTACGCTGGCGAAACACCATTGATAAATGATAGATGATGATGAAAACTGGTCAGTTATCCCATCGTGACGAAATTCACAAGAATTAACAACGATATTTTCCAAGGAGAACCGCGTGGAAGTCGAAATGATAACATATATGCAAAGCAATGTACCTGTTTGACCCCATTACTAACAATTTATTTAAGCGATTTTTAATTATGAAGTTAGTCCTCATTGCTAAACACATCCCGGACACGCGGACGAAGTCGCGAGTGTATAGAGCAAGATATTACTGATTATATTGTCCCGTTTCTATTGCGTACGTTTTCCATATAAAATTCTCTCTTCGACGTGCTTCAAAGAAAACATAAGCTGCACCTACAACAAGCAACCTTTGTGTTCAAAGTTTATGCTGTGTAATGCATACGCTGTATAAATCCAACAAAAGACTACAAAGCGCCCTCCGGAATAAGTGCCCCAGTATAAGTTGAGTTTCCATCACTCTATTATTAGGTACAATAACATAATATAATTACAATAATTAATTTATAGATAATTTGTAGTAGAAAAATAACAGGTAAATGTGGATTTGTATATAAAACATTCCAAATTTTTAAATAGATACGAAATGAGAACCTGTGCGATCGATTCTCTGTATGTTGTGAAATATTTTAAATAATGTTGTACATAGGGTGCTGAGTGATTGACTGATTGACCCATATGGACCCGTAAATGAACAATAGGAGTTTTGAAAATTCAATCCCTAATAAGATAAATCTTCCAAAATTCACGCAGAGTCTAAAAATAAATATAATTAGAGATAATCTGAACAATGCATCAAATCTCTAAAAGACCTCGCCAATTCCGACCTGATTTTTATGATTATTATTGTAACCAATAACTTCTTTCTGGATATGGAACCGTACTCATATTTATATTATCATAACCGAAGCCACTACTTTGCAGATCAAGACTATTACGTCCTTATTAATATCATAAATATGAAAATGAGTTTGTTAGTTTTGTCGAACTAATAGTCATGCAATATTGTGGTCATTTGGAATGGAGAATAACTTAAGGGTCGATTCTGAGGCGTAATTTCTCTAAACTTATTTCTTACACTTTCTTTTCTTTCTTACTATTTACACTGATAGCATTTAATGTTAAAATTACTATCTATTTATACATAATGTACATTACAATCATTTTAAGGGGAACAGCAAGCTGGTTTCAAACAATAGTACACTTAAGGCATTTAACATACACTTTTTAATTTTAATATATAATTACTTTACATAGACTACATGCTATATAATTAACTGTAATGCTTTTCTATAGAAATCCCCTTCTATATTGAAGTTGTGGGTGAAAACTAGTAAAACTGAAAGCAACTCCTGATTATTTCAAGATTTGTTTAATGGATGATAATGAAATAGTACCCCGTCTGCGCTATCGGTATATACTGGCGGAGCGCCAATGAGGGTTGTTTGGCGAGAATTAAAAGACAGATCAGTGAGAATGTGACGAATTCAACAATAAATTAATCACGATGTTTTCCAAGGGAAACCGCGTGGTAGTCGACCTGATAAGGTATTGATAGCAATGGAGACTAACAATCCCTTCCCCTTCGATCACTTGAACACGATCCATATGTTTAATCGTCATAACAGTAACATTTAAACTGGCATTTAGATTATGAAATTGTATTGAATTATATCCGAAGAGGTGTAATGCTATTATAAAACCTTCTTTTGTTTATTTCCATTAAATTCGTTGTTACATTATTCTCTGTTACATTTCATTGTTATTCCGTTTAATGTTAAGTTACATAAAGTTATGTATTCCTCTACGATAGTGCAGTATCATTTGCCGTGCGGTCTCTGCATAGAATGGACCACCCCTTCCTTTCCCGTAGGTGTCGTAAGAGACAACTGGGGGAACTTAATGTTATAGAGATGGGCAGCGGCTTACCTCTTAAAACATCACCAAATGCAAACACCAAATTGATTGACTATAAAGTCAATCAATAACTGCAGTTGCCAACTCGCCCGCCAAGCGTGGCAACTATTGTCTGAATCCTCCTTAAGGGGGGGGGGGCTCATGTTCACGACTGATATGATGATGATGATGATATGCAGTATTAGGACCGTTATTTTTTTTTATTAAAAACTACAAAAGTAGTTTGCTTGGGTACCTCTGTCCCATTCATGTTTCAGCCGTAAAGCAGTTGTGTTTGAATCGCTGTGTTTCAGTTTGAAGGGTGGGATATGGCGTGAATTTACAGGGTACAGAGGAATAACACCTGAGTCCTCAGGAATGGCAACACATGGGGGGTATCATGGGCGAAACAGTATACTCTGTTATGTCCATAATACTGCTCATGTCCATAGGCGACGATTACCACTTTCCATCAGGTCGACCGTCAGCTTCTTTGCCATTCTCAGTTGTATAAAAAAAAATGTTATGCGAGACATTAAATATAATAAATCTATTCAGTATTATGCTGGTCTCATTAAGATTAAAACAATGGATGTGCATTTGCAACAGCGGCCGTATACTGCGGATTTCAGTGCATTGTGAAAGCTGTCTGGCGTTCTTGCTCCAGCCTTTCTAGTTTCTGCTTTACACATCGTGAATGTTTACTTCAAATAACTAAATTAAGTTACGTTACGTATTTTCAGATTTAATTAAAACACATGTGTCAAGTGTTTTGTTTTAGCAATAACATCAATGACTGAATAAGGCACTTTTTTTTTTAAATAGAACGCAGTTTTCAGTGGTCGTGTGACTAATTTTTTTTTTATTTAAAAATCAATTTACTAAACCGATTTTGAGGAAATTAAAAAAAAAATCCGTCTTTAATGATGTCGACACCAATTATTTTGATTTAAAAATCAAATTGTTAAACCAATATTGAAGAAATGTCTATGAGAGCAATCTGAAAATGTATACATTCAGGTAAAAAAATAATTTTTCAAGTCTGTTTACAAATGGCCGAGTTCTGAGGTAACAAATATAAATATATATATATATACATTTATCTGCTAACTTTTACCCGCGACATCGTCCTCGTTACCAGGATATATTCACTGACCGGAATAAAATAAGCCTATGTCCTTCTCTATCCCAAAATGCAAATTCCATGACAATCGGATAAGCCGTTAAAGTGCTATGAGGTAACAAACAAACAATCTCACTTTCACATCCATAATATTAGTAAGGATTAAAGTATAAATAAATAACCCACACTACACAACAACCATCATCATAATTTGTAATAGTCCGGATGATCGGCTACGCGCCGCTACAATCATCTCGGGTCCCATCATTTATTCCTAAGGATGTAATTACATCAATAGCTCATTCTTACAAATGAACCATTCAAACATACAAGTACCGAACATTAAATTCCGAACCCATCAAATGAAGGCCTTCTTTCGAAATCAGTTAATAAACTCATTTTAACGAGAATGTGTTTGTGTGTAAAGTACACGTGCTTACATTTTTTTTTATGTGTGTTAAGAAAGATATAATGCAAGGGTGTGATGGGCAAAAGGTAAATTCATCTATAATTTTTGTCTATGTTTTTGCTAATTCTGAAACGATTTCGGTATTTATTTTACATTATTTATGGTTTATTCCTTTTGTTAATTTTTTATATTTGTAACAATTGGTTGTATTTTTTATATTTATTTCTTCATAACTGAGTCAGTTATAAACCAATTTGGAATTATTTTTTATCTTACAGATTTCGTCCCATAGAAATTTTACAAAAATCGTCTCTGTGCTTTAGTTTTCATATCGATATAACTGGTTTTGCCACAATTGTGATCTGTTTTTTTTTTTTGGAGAACATAATCTTAAATTATTTTTGCGGAATAAAAACTGCTATAATAATAATAATAAACAAGGAATACTATTTGCGAAACAAAAAATATTTGTAGATACACAATATCGTGTTCTAAATTCAAATTCTTTTTATTTTTAATTTAATGTTTCTATGAATTTTGACGCAGTTCATCCATGTGTTTTTATTTATTTGCACATCGACAGTGTTACATATAGTTCGTTACATTAAAACACTTCAAATAAACATGATAAATATATGCACACCAGTAATACATATACACAGCATTAGCTAAGATAATAATCATGATATTTGAAAATATGAAATTACTTATTTGTACTTATTGCAAAAATATTGCAAAGAAGAGAATGAAAGAATACATTTAGACTATGTGACGACTTTTAATGTGATTTAATAGTTTATACTTGAAAGTACGCTATGAATCATGGAAAATATCAAGGTCTTTTATTTTTGCTTTAAGTTTGTTATAAAAGAAACTTATTCTAGTAATCATCATGATCATCCCCCCCCCCCCCTTGAAGGGTTTTGCCAGTAGTTGCCACGCTTAGCAGGTGGATTGACAACCGCAGTTAGGCTTTGGAGATGTTTTAAGAGGGCCACTGCTCCCTATCCCTCGTCCTCCCTTAGTCGCCTCTTACGACGCCCACGGGAAAGGAAGGGGTGGCCTATTCTATGCCGAAACTACACTGAGATATTCTAGCAATAGGTTGGTGCCTAAATTGGTTTTATATTGGCTAATTGATTTGTTGATAGAATCCAAAAAAAATTGAAAGATTTTTCTTATAACACAGGGGGCAAACGAGCATGCGGCTCACCTGATGGTAACTACCGTCGCCCATGAACACCCGCAACACCAGAGGCATTGCAGGTGTGCTGCCAGTATTTTAAAAAGGAATATGCTTTTTTCTTGAAGGTTATTATGTAGATTTACCAGAGGGAGACTTTGTACAAAAGTCGATTGCTTGGGTACCTCTATCCCATTCGTGTTTCTACCGTGAAGCAGTTGTATTTGCATGGCTGTGTTTCGGTTTGAAGTGTAGGATATGGCGTAAATTTGCAGGGTACAGAGGAATAACACCTAAGTTCTCAGGAATGGCAACACATGGGGGGTATCATGGGCGAAACAGTATACTCTGTTATGTCTATGGTACTGCTCATGTCTATAGGCGACGGTTACCACTTTCCATCAGGTGGGCCGTCAGCTTGTTTGCCATTCTAAGTTGTATAAAAAAAAGATGATAATCAGAAGTAATCTACAATCTTAGTGAACAATTTTATTCTGCAAAACGAGTGTATTGCATAAGGTGCGTCATAGATACGATAAAGATACTGTTATCATAATTACTCAGCTCGTATAGGCAATAAATCAAATTTAATATACTCACAATCCTTGGATAAATATATATCGTGCGAAATATAATAATATGCATTCATTTTGTTAATGGTACACAAGATAAATTATGTACGAAGCATTTAAAAGAATATTTTCGCAGTGTATAAGATGAATGTGAATTAAAACTAGTATCGCATTTATATATATTGTAATATATATTGCGTATTTGTATATATTGTATTGGTGGCTACATCCACCCGTACATGGTACATTTGCATGGCTGTGTTTCGGTTTGAAGGGTGGGGTATGGCGTGAATTTACTGGGTACAGAGGAATAACACCTGAGTCCTCAGGAATGGCAACGCATGGGGGGTATCATGGGCGAAACAGTATACTCTGTTATGTTTGCCATTCTAAGTTGTATAAAAAAAAACATGCTTAATACTACCCACATATCTAAACAGTATATCAGAGTCGTCGATCATCGAAGACAATGATAATCATCATTCCCATAACTTAGAGCTAGTTACTTATCTAATAATTTTTCGGGATTTTCCTTTATACGTCAATCAATACGTACGCCTGTATTGATCGTGTGTTGTTTCCTTAGTCACCTCTCACGACACGTTATGTATGAAAAGGAGTAGTGGGTTTCTATATGGCAATGTAATTACAGGGTACAAAGTACTTTATATTATTCTCAATTTTGTATATGTATATATATATATATATATATATATATATATATATATATATATATATATATATTTCAACTAGTACCGCTTTCGAGTGTCCACACCATACCACACCATAGGGAAGTGTCCGGGTACCCTGACATTTCCCTATGGTTGACTGGAAGAGAAAGAGAATGCTCTTAGCATTAAGTCCGCCATGTACACATATATGTAATGAATAAATAAATAAAGGCAATGAGGCAAAGGAAAAGGAGGCAAAAAAGACAAAGGCAAGGATGGAATGAAAAAACCATGGAAACCATCATGGTTAATTCCTGATGAATTTATCATGATGGGCTGACTGGCCTGTTTTCATTCTCATCGATCACCCTTCACTGGTGCTCCGCCAGCGTATCCCGTTAGCGCAGGCGGGGTTACCATATCATTTCCATACCTGAATATTAATAGAATAGTGGGATTACTCACCCCCCAAGCTACGATCGAATTAGCAACGATCTGCAATATGTTGTACCACATGATAACAACGCGCAAGTCGTACGGCTTCCTCCCTCTCATGTGCATTGGCAATATTAGCTTAATAATGACCAAATATACCGCAATTATAGCCATAACGGGCCACGGCGAGCTCATAAGCAGCCAATCTTTGCATCGAGGATCTGCAAATAGAAATATTATGTCATGATGATTGTGACACGCCTCGTTAGTTTAGTGAGTTGTATATGTTGCAGTCAAAAATCTTAACCAGTCAAAAGCACTTTTGACTGAAGAAGTTCATGTCTACAGGCGACGGTTACCACTTTCCATCAGGTGGGCCGTCAGCTTGTTTGCCATTCTAAGTTGTATAAAAAAAAGTGGTTTTGTCTAAAAATTATTGGTTATTAGTATTTTTGACTGCAAATTTGCGGTTAGGTTGGGTTTTTTTTTAATGGGTGAAAATGAAATGGTGACCCCGTCCGCGCTATCGGTATACATCGATGAGGCACTAGTGGAAGATGATAGGTGAGAATGAATGCAAGTCAGTTGTCCTACCATGATGAATTCGACAAGAATTAACCATGATGGTTTCCAGAGGGAATCACGTGGAGGTCGACTTGAGGGTATATTGCTAGCAATGGGGCTATTAGACCTCATTATTAACAATCGCTTTCCCTCCGGGTTAGGTTTTTTTTATTGGATGAAAATGGAATGGTAATCCGCCTGCGCTAACGGTATACGCTGTCGGGGCACCAGTGAAGAGTGATCGATGAAGATGAAAACAGGCCAGTTAGCCTATCATGATAAATTCATCTGGAATTAACCATGATAGTTTCCAGGGGGAACCGCGAGGAGGTCGACCTGGTTGGGTATATTGCTAGCAATGGGATTTTCAGTCTCCATTACTAACAATCCCTTTCCCCCCCCCCCCCCCTCCGAGTTAGGTTAGGTACTTTTAACTGGTATTTTAGTCAAAAGTATTATTGACTAAAGCATACGGTCAAAAGTTCTTTCGATTGTCTTTGCTAGTCAATTGTACTTTTGACTGGTTCAGAGTTTTGACTGCAACATATATACAGCTCGACAAACATTGAAATTGTGAAATTAAAGTTATGATATAAAACGCAAATAGACAGTCAGATGAGTTTTTTAAATGACTCCATAAAGAATGTTCTTAATTGGCTTACGTTTTTTTTTTTGTTTATTTGTCACGCGATATCTTTCTCAATTTTCAACGGACTTCAAAAAGAAGGTAGTTCTAAATTTGGTTATATTTATTTTAAATTCGTTATTTCATTATTCCGTCAATTGTAAACCGATTTGGTATTTTTTTTTATCTGGAAAGATCTTCGTCTATATCTAGATATATCTTTAATATTTTATATATCAAAAATAGCCATTTAAAAAAAATAAAAGACTCATTCTTAGTGACCTGAATTCTGTAATACTTAGCAATATAAAAAAAAATACGAATAAAGTATGATATCCAGTTGGTGTTCCGTATATTTTTTTTTTTTTATTAGACGTACTTTAATTTGCAAGTTTTATTTAAATTTCTCTAACGTCCGTTGAAATTAAATTTAAATAAAGAACAAATGTTTTTGGTTTTTTTTTTTTTTAATGGCATTTCAAGGGAAACCCTCTAATTCTAAATGTTTAAATATATACAATATTAAAATTCCGTGTGGTCCCTGATGATAATATTTAATATTATATATAATTCTAAGTCGTTTGAAAGTGTTGCCCTCTAATGTCAAAAGTTTCTAGATCACCTTTGTTACAATATATACGAACGTCTTTGTCACGTCTGACATGGCCTCCCAGATGACGGTTTTACCTGCCCACCTAAGCACGAAGCAAGTGACAACCGATAAGTCTAGACATTAATTTGAAAATTTGGAGGTTTAACCTAATAAAAAATATAAATTCACTTCATATAAATCTTCATTTATTTTAACATTGAGACTCCGATATCTCTAAACCTATCTCTGAAAATTTAAATATTGTAAGGACGAATATGAACTAACTTTTTTCATACATTTAAATCAAAATTACTTTTAATTTAATTTATTAATGTCCATAAAGTAATTTCGTGACACTATCAAATTAAAATATTAGGTATAAAGTTTCATGAAATGGTGATTCAGAATCGAACTCATCATTTATTTATTTATTTAAACATTAATGCACAGTAAAATTCTATGTACATTTGGCGGACTTAACACCGGACGGTGTTCTCTAGCAGTCAACCATTGGGCAAATCGAGAAATAGGCGGTGCATTTTTGAATAGAGGAAAAATAAAGCAATACTTGATAAATTGATATAATATAAACATACACATAATATATTAAATAAATAAATATATACATACAATAAATACATAAAATATTACTATATAAAACAAAACAACTGCATTTGAAGAGCAAATAGTAATCAATGACTCAGAGTAACCAGAAGGGGAAGCTTAAAAGGTGAAGTGATTTTTCTAAGGTGTAATAATACATTATTTGTATGGAAATATATATTTATTTAATCAACTTTTTGTTGCGACAAATACCGTTTTATAATTAATATGCGCATCCCTAAATCTACCGAGCTAACCCCCGTCCGCTCTCGTTTATTGTATTGCCATAAATTAAAGTTTATCTCGCCGCCATCTTATCGCACCAAGACCAACTGCTTCAAATTGAATCGTGTACAAAGGAATATTAAAATGTATTCACATTGAGTCCGCTGTTGCAATTGCAAGCGTGAGGCTCACGTTGCGCTAATATGTTATTGCATCCAACTCAGTTGTGTACTTACCTACTAAAATAATAAAATAAAAATATTTTTTATTCAAGTAAAGTTAATAATAAGCATTTTTGAATACTCATTTTTCTTTCTTAGCTCAGAGGGCATACCATGAAATACTTTCCGAAATTTCGGATCCGAACGAAACAAAAATTTGATGCTAAAATTACGTGATACGTACCGTTTAAAAATATTTAAAATGCTAAAATATCGTTCCTTTTAACTTTTATGGTAGGATTTATGACAAACGAAATGTTAAGCTCCATTTACAGGGTCGATTTCGGTACGAACAAAAACATGAAATTGAGCCCGAAAATTCGGAATTTCATTTCATGGTAGACCACCAGTTCAGTATGCAATTTCAGCTGAGAAGAACAGGCAAGAAATAGCTGTTGCTTTATTTTTCAAATAAGAGTTAAGTATACAAAAAATAAAAATACGACTGGATAAAATCATGTCTATGGTTACCACTTTCCATCAGGTGGGCCGTCAGCTTGTTTGCCATTCTAGTTGCATAAAAAAAACAACTATCACAAATTTCGTATTGATAAATAAAAAGATACAACGCTACAATTAATCACAGTTACTTTACTTTAGTATGCTTTATTTTCTTTAACAACGGAACGGATTTGATAAATTCTGTTATTTCGTTGGGCCTCATGATTAACAATCTTCCTACCTCCCACGTCCACTGCCTTGGGGTACTCGACACCAGTGTTGATTGATAAATGAATTTACGTTTGTTAGTTTCACTAAAACTCGAGAACGGCTGGAACGATGTGGATAGTTTTAATTTTGAAATAATTGTAAAAGTCTAAGGGAGGTTTAAAAGGTGAAAATATATGAAAAAATTGTAAAAAAAAAATAATAAAAATAACAATTTTATTATCCTACCCATACTGTTCGTATCTGTCAAACAGAATGCGTTCGGGAATTAATTTTGAGACGTAATGTGTATAAAGAAATTCAGAAATTAGTACGAATTTCGCCGAGTCTGTTAGTTTCAAATAAAACCTATATCAATGCAACAGCGTGATATTACGCACTTACTAATATTATAAATGTGAACGTGGGTTTGTTTGTTACTTTATACGAGGTCTGTCCGGAAAGTTCGTATAAAAGTGTTCTGGAATGCGAGAAAGAGGAGTGGGGAGGCCAGGTAAGCGCAGGACCCCTTCCTTATGTCCCTAACAATGCTTCAGTTCTGGTCTGACCGCCGTGCGGTGCGAACTGGCTTGTCACGCCATCTGTGAAGTTACCTCTTAACGAAACCCCGTCGGCATGGAGCCCGCTTCCGTTGAAGAGCAGCGCGTCGTAATCAAGTTTCTCTCGAAACTCGGCAAGAATGGCCGTGAAATTTTTGCCGATCTCAGAACAGTAAAATCCCAAAGCAAAGAGTGGAAGACATCCGGGGAACCACGAACAAAAAAATCAAGAAAATCCCGCTCAAATGTCAAGACAATGTTGATTGTTTTTTTCGATGTTCGGGGGATTGTCCATCAAGAATTCGTCCCTCCAGGCCAGACAGTTGATGGAAAATTCTACGTCGATGTGCTCAGACGCCTCAAAGCTCGTGTGGCACGAGTTCGTCCAGAATTGGCGCGAGAGGGGCGTTGGATTCTTCACCACGACAATGCCCCTGCCCACACCTCTCTTGTTGTCCGTGAGTTTTTGAGTAAAAATTCCATTACGGTGACCGAACACCCCCCCTATTCGCCGGATTTGGCCCCGTGTGACTTCTTCTTGTTCCCAAAAACCAAATTGGTACTTCGGGGGCGGCATTTGGGGGACATAAATGAGATAAAAAAAGCTACGACGGGGCAGCTGAGAAACCTACAACCAGAGGACTTTCAAGGAGCCTTCTCACAGTGGAAACGGCGTTGGCACAAGTGCATTATGTCACAGGGGGAGTACTTTGAAGGGGATAAAATTGATTTACCTGAATAATGGTAAAATAAAATTTTTAAAAAACTTTTATACGTACTTTCCGGACAAACCTCGTAGCTATTCGTCCTATAAAGAAATTTTACTACAAAATTGTTTTGCAAAAATATAACTAGATGGCGCTGCAACAAATCTACATATATTTTTTTTGTTTATTTAAGTTCGATATACATCCGAATACATAAGTTTCTAATCCAATTCGGTATTTTCATTTCTTGACCTTCGGAAGTACAATAGCTCCTTAATACGTAAGTACTATGAGGTTTGGTATACACATATTATAAGTGACGAAGAATGATATGGGCTGCTTTTTAGCCTGGTCAGTCAAAATATCCCAGTCCGCAAACGAAGTCGCGGATAAAAGCTAGTAAGCTATAATCTATTTCAATAGAACTTAATGAAAAGCAACCAAGTTTTCTTGAAATTTGTTACAAAAACACTCTATAAATGAAATTTAAAAACGAATCGAAGTCCTATTGGGCATCGGCAAGTAAAGAATACGGTTCTAAGTACTTAATCTTGAAATTACGAGTTTTTTTTTTTTTAATGGATGATAATATAATAGTAGCCCCACCCGCGCTATCGGTATACATCGGCGGGACACCAGTGAAGAATGATAGGTGAGGATGAAGTAGGTCAGTTAGCCCATCGTGACGAATTCAACGAGAATTGTTCACGATGGTTTCCAGGGGGAACCACGTGGAGGTCGATCTAATAAGGCATATTGCTAGCAATGGGGCTGTCAAACTCCATTGCTAACAATCCCTTTCCCCCAAATTACGAGTATTATGCATCAAGTCGGAAGTGCATGTATGAATACGCTCTAGTTTTATTATATAAATTATTGCTCCTTAATTAAACGCAATAGTAATAATAATAATAATCTTCTATTCGGAGTTCCAACATAAAGAGAGGAAGAGTCCCTCTTAAAACATCACCAAAAGCCAAACTGCAGTTTCCAATCTGCCTGCCAAGCGTGGCAACTACGGGCAAAACCTCCGTTATGGAGGAAACAATGTTCTGCAGTGGACAGTTAACGGCGATACAACAAAAAAATATATAGCTAACACTAGCAATGGGGTTCTCAGTACCCCATTACTAACAATCCCTTACCTCTAGTAGTTATTCTATAGTTAGTAAACAGAGTTATCAGAATAAATATTGTTTGATACCTTCTGTCTACCTCATATCGACATAGGATAAAGATAGATAATAAAAAAATAGTTACCTGCATTTTCATTAAATATTTCATTGTATATTCTATAAATAGCTTCCATGTTTTTGTTAATAAAATATTTAACAATACAAATGTTTGTGTTCAATCACTTCGCGCTGTCGTTACAATATGGTAACGTGACGGAAATTGTTTTAACCGCGGGTTCATTGTTTCAATTTCATGAATATAGTTGTTTTTTATTAACTTATACATGTTGTGCAGTTAATGCAAAAAGGAGAAAATTACAAAAAATATAGTTTGCTAAAACGACCTTTTATAATGAAATAAATCTAAATCTATTCGCTAAAACTATATTTTTAGCAGCACTATATGTCTAGCAGTGAAATGCTAATCAGGATAATAAATGCTCGTGATTTATTTTGTTTTTAATACAGGACGGGTTTGCACTTGGATTTATTTAATGAGAAAAATGCCATACCTCAAGTATTGCTATTTTTTTTTTTTATTACTTCACCAGGTAAAATAAAGTATAATATATTATTACATAACAATTATAAACTTAGTGTTTATAATTGTTATGGAATGAGCTCCCTGCCGAAGTTTTTCCCAAGAGACTACACCATGGGGTTCTTCAAAAGGGGGGTAAAGAGGTTTCTTCAGGGTCGGCAACGCGCGCGTAATACCTCTGGTATTGCAGGCGTTCATAGGCTAAGGTAACCGCTTACCATCAGGTGGGCCGTATGCTTGTTTGCCACCTCAGTGGTATAAAAAAAACTAAAGTAAAATAATAAAAAAAGAATTTTTCATATCGATTTAGAACTGATGGGAGTTATGAGGTAATAAACGTAAAAAAATATAATCGAATTGAAAACTTAATTTTGAAGTCTTTTGAAAAAGGGCGGCGTATTATTTTGTCCTTAGTGGCATATTTCTAGGCAGAGCACTATTAAAATAGTTCGTACAAGTATTCAAGTTTGAAGTTTCATCACTCCCCCGCCGTCGTGCCCTCATCTCGCCACTAATGCGTTTTACGTGCTATTATCAAGGTCGGAACACACGATTTGTAATAAACAGCCCTCGTTTGTTCCGCCTCTTATAAAATAATACTGAATTGCCCCAATTAGCTCAGACGATTTTTCGGCGCGGCTATAATTGTAGAGTGCATCTATAATTGTAGTCACTCGTTACACATCGTTATTCTGGTGGGACAGGATGGTTGTTAGCAACGAGAGGTAGCTGCCAGACATATATATATATCCTGCAAGGTGTCCTTCACGTGATCTCCCCTAGAAACTTATAATGAATACACATCTCTTGCGACGTCAAGGGAATGAAAGGCTCAGGGTCGGCAACGCGCGCGTAATATCCCTGGTATTGCAGACGTTCATAGGCTACGGTAACCGCTTACTATCAGGTGGGCCGTATGCTTGTTTGCTACCTCAGTGGTATAAAAAAATATTGTATTCTTACTTCAAAGGATTCTTTAATGTAACACAGTCTAAAGACGATAATATGATAATGCCTGTTTTAAACATCTGTTGCTCTCCGTATTTACTAATATGTATTTATTATTTTATATCTTACTTCTTTATGGATATGTGAATACCTTCCAAATACGAACAAACATTGACACAATATAGTTCCTCTTTTACCGACTTCAAAAAGAAGAAGGTTCTCGATTCGGATGTATTTTTTTACGTTCCCTACGTCGTAGCCGTCAGTTATAAAACAGCTTGAATTTATTTTTTTTTTATAAAAAAAAATATAATTATGGTCTGATCTTAAAAAAATTACCAAAATCAATTCAATAGTTTAGTTTTGAAATCAAAATAACTAGTTTTGCTGCAATTGATTTTTTTTATACACAGTCTTAAATTATTAAAATAATTGTTTGTTGTATCAGCCTGTATAAAAACAATATTAAGGTTGAAATAATGATATCCTTACTAACATTATAAATGTGAATGTGAGTGTGTTCATTTGTTAGCTCTGGACTCCTTAACAGCTCAACCAATTGTAATGAAATATGATAGGAAAGTGGTGTTCGGAATAAAGAAGGGCATAGGCTACGTTTAATCCCGGTCGATCCATATATGCTTATCACGCGGACAAAACCACCGGTGAAAACTAGTATTGTGATAATTATATATATATATATAGTATATTATGATAATTATAATATATAAATAATACATAATGCAACATCCACTTTTGCCCAATTTTGTTGATATAAATATTAACTAGTTAAGATTAAAAATGACAAGAAATCGACTTTAATATTTTGTTTTTTTTTTATATTTAATTAAATTAAAAGAAAATCTGAAAAGATAGTTTCATTCATGTTTTTACCATGGAGAAGTTGTGTTTACATGGCTGTGTTTCGGTTTGAAGGGGGGATGTGGCAGTGATATACAGGGTACAGAGGAATAACACCTGAGTCCTCATGAATGGCAACGCATGGGGCGTATCATGGGCGAAACAGTATACTCTGTTATGTCCATTGTACTACTCATGTCTATAGGCGACGGTTACCACTTTCCATCAGCTTGTTTGCCATTCTAAGTTGCATAAAAAAAAGTCTATTCATTTACTACTTTATCATTTTTAAAAGCATTACTTTTACATCTACAGAATATCTATATATCTCAACGGTAGAAGTACTGTAAATATAGTGTAGAAGTACTGTAAAGTAAGTAGAAGTACTGTAAATGTATTTATAAATTACTAAATTGTAATAAACACACTATCACAATTATAATCATTATCATATCAGCCCTTAACTGTTTACTGCTAAACATATGCCTCCCCCATAAAGGGGGGTTTTGCCAGTAGTTACCACACTTGACAGGCGAATTGATTACCGCAGTTAGGCTTTAGTAATGTTTTAATAGGGACGCTGCTACCCATCCCTCTACCATTAAGTACCCTTAGTCGCCGCTTACTACACCCGTGGCTAAGGAAACAGGGGCCCATTCTATGCCGAGACCACACGGCATCACATTCATAATATTATTTTATACTTACCAGAGGGAGACTTTGTACAAAAGTCGATTGCTTGGGTACCTCTGTCCCATTCGTGTTTCAGCCGTGAAGCAGTTGTGTTTGCATGCCTGTGTTTCGGTTTGAAGGATGGGATATGGCGTGAATTTACAGGGTACAGAGGAATAACACCTGATTCCTCAGGAATGGCAACGCATGGGGGGTATCATGGACGAAACAGTATACTCTGTTATGTCCATGGTAGGTATTGCTCATGTCTATGGGCGACGGTTACCACTTTCCATCAGATGGGCCGTTAGCTTGTTTGCCATTCTAAGTTGTATAAAAAAAAATACTTTATGTACTACTGTATTTAGTAAATAATATGATATAAGGACTACAAATCATACAAAGATAAATTTCAAATGATCGATCTTCACATTCAACAGAATTCTTTTATTCTTGTATAAATAATTGTAAATTTATTTAATTTCCAGTCGAAAGAGAAGATGACGCGAGGGGTGCGGCGCGGCTGTGTCAGGCTGAGGGCGGCCGTCATTGGCATTGATGACGAGGACGACTCCACCTTCACCATCACAGTCGATCACAAAACCTTTCACTTTCAGGTGAATATCATACATATTTATTTATATTAAATGTAAATATAAAAATAATATTAAATACAGTTAATTTTAAAAAGAAGTGATAGAAAAGGCGGCCTTATCGCTAAGCAATCTTTTCCAAACAACCTTAACAATATATATATATATATATATATATATATATATATATATATATATATATATATATATATATATATATATATATATATATATACACGCATGCACGCACGCGCAAACACACACACACTCCCACTCTCTTAATAGTACACATACATACGTATTTTAATTTATAATAATCCAGTTAATTTCAGTTTCTTAGTAAACCATAAATACAATGAATTATTTATTATTTTTTCGATATGTCTTTATTAAAGTGAATAATATTATTATATGGTCAATAAGAAATGAAATTTTTATTTTAGTAAAAAACATAACTGTAGTTTAAATAAGTTAGAGTATTGATATTAATCTCATCAAAAACATAAATATGAAATAAGAGCCAAATTTAATATTACGAATATGAAACGTTTGGACTCAGCCGAAAAAAGAATTGGAATATGGGTGTCAAAATTCTGTGTAAAAATCTTAATTTACAAGTTACTAAAACATGCAATGTTATAAAATTAATTTGTTTAACAATTTCTTTTGTTGTCAATATTTTATAGTAACTATCTCGAGGTCACTAAAACAACTTCCCTACTACCTTACTAGAATATTTATCAAGTAATCCAGAAGTAAGATAAAAAACAGTCCATGCCAATACTTTTTAAACTATTGACACCAGAGGGCGCACAGTAACAGTAGTAATGCCAACATCACCTCTTCCAGGCCCGCGATGGATTAGAACGGGAACGATGGGTCCGCGCGCTTGAAGACACCATATCGAGACATGGCAGACGAGAGCGATGGTCTCGCAGTATGCCGGCGCCCCGACACCGCCACGGGGATCTCGAGCGGCGCATATCAGAGGCTGACGCGTACTTGCAAATTATGATTGACCTTGTTTCTGTAAGTACACATTGTCATAACATTGGATAAAGATGGAATGAAATACCAGCCTATATTTTTTTTAAATGGATGAATATGGAATGGTAACTCCGTCGGTGCTATCGATATCCGCTGTCGAGGCACCAGAGAGAGATGATTAGGTGAGAATGAAAACAGGTCAGTTAGCCCATCCTGATGAATTCAACAAGAATTAACCACAATGGTTTCCAGGGGGAACCGTGTGGAGGTCAACCTGATAGGGTATATTGCTAGCAGCCAGAGGTTGATATGATAGGGTATACCATAGAACACAAATGAGAGAAATATAAAAAAAATGTTGTTTTGCTACAATTTTTTTTTTAATAGAGTTCTCAGGCAAAGCCACCGTCTACGCATACCTTAAAATCTTATCAAACAGGCTGAATCTGAACTTATCTGAAGAGCTAGTTGCTCTACTATTGTACTTACCTAAATCAACTCGTGTTTCAACCGCCAAGTTACTACTATGACGTTTCGGTTACATTGGCATATTATGAATACTGGAGACAACATCTTCATCCTCAAAATTGATAACGTATTTTCTTGCCAGAATGTCACAGGATAATCAGAGATTTTCATAGTACTGTTCATGTCTATACGCGACAGTTACCACTCTACATGAGTGGTCAGCTAATTTGCCAACTAATGCATATCGTCTCACCCGATAGCTTGTGGGGTATATCGAATTTACAGGAAAATATGACTCATATATATGATATATCTTCATGTTACTACGGTAAGCAATGCGCAAATATTGTCTCTTAAATCGAGCATATGCTTAAGTACCACCTTTATTGTTAACAAGGTACATTTTACAGTTGGAATGGGCATTGTACATCATCGTACCCATATAGATACAATATCAATATATATTGGTCCAATAACAGATATAGTAAATATCGTTTATCCGATATATATGATATCAAAATACATAACCCGATCGAAATTAATACAGATATCCAATCTTATGGGTAATGACCTTTTTTACCCATGCTTATCCTATAATAATAAATCAATTTTTGTTACAGAAAATGAGCACACGTGTATCAGAGCTAGCCGATCCACATGAGAAAAGTAAAGGGCAAGTTATATTAGACCACTCCAACGTAAGTATTGAGTAGACGCACTGCCTTATTTGTCTATTTAAAAAAAAAAAACGTTAAAAAGGATGAGATACTCATTTCAACTTAATATTTTTGCGCTATATTTTCATCATTTCTAAACTGATTTCGATGATTCTTTTTATAAGCAATAGAACCTTTATGAACTTCTGTGATAATCTTATATTAATTTAGCACCATTAAAATAGTCTTTTTTATGCAATATAATGTTAATTTACTAATAGCAAATATAGATATATAAATAATAGCGAGAAGAAAATTTAAATATTATATTCCACAAAAATATACTTTAATCGATACGAAATTCGTCTACTCAAAGTGTGAGGCAGTAGGCAGTGTGTTCAATACACCAGTCTACTCAGAATGTGAGGCAGTAGGCAGTGTGTTCAATACACCAGTCTACTCACAAGGTGAGGTAGTAGGCAGTGCATTCAATATACCAGTCTACTCAGAATGTGAGGCAGAAGGCAGTGCATTCAATACACCAGTCTACTCACAAGGTGCGGCAGTAGGCAGTGTGTTCAATACACCAGTCTACTCAGAATGTGAGGTAGAAGGCAGTGCATTCAATATACCAGTCTACTCAGAATGTGAGGCAGAAGGCAGTGCATTCAATACACCAGTCTACTCAGAATGTGAGGTAGTAGGCAGTGCATTCAATATACCAGTCTACTCAGAATGGGAGGCAGTAGGCAGTGCATTCAATACACCAGTCTACTCAGAATGTAAGGCAGAAGGCAGTGTAATCAGTACACTAGTCTACTCAGTAGTTGAGGCATTAGGAAGTGTATACAATACACCAATCTACTCAGGTGAGGCAGTAGGCAGTGTGTTCAATACACCAGTCTACTCACAAGGTGAGGCAGTAGGCAGTGTAATCATTACACTATCAAGATTGTCAACCGTTTCAACTTTTTTTTATTATAAATTTAATCTAGGAACTCCTAACTGAAATTAAGTCGCATTTATTAATCCTAAATGGGCCTTTTAGGACCAAAAATTGTCATGCAAATTACCATGTAAAAAGCCTTTTAGACTTGTACAGTAAAGTAATAGCTTCCCTTTTTATATATTTTCTTTTCTTTGCAGGCAATGTTGGATAACATAAAACATTCCATAGTGCTTCTTCAAATAGCTAAGGTACTTAATGCTGTTTATTTTATCGCATATAATACTACCGTGCTGACTGTATGAATATCAGCTGCTTGAAATAGTCGCGTATTGCTTAAAATTTTTTTTATGTATTTTTTATAACACAGAATAACAAACAAACTGTTGACGCCACCTGATGGAAAGTGAAAAGTGGAAGTATGACAAAATACATTGCAATACCTAAAGGGATACTATCACGCCTTGCCGTTTTTGAAGACTAACATTTATGACTCGAATTAAAAATTTTAATTACAAGATAATACAATGTAATTAATTCATTGTGCGATCTATGGAGGTCTATTAACATGAAGCTTCCATAAAGATATACATGTATAAATACAATTTAATAATACTGATATTCATTATGGAATCGATCCTTCGATCTCAAGAAATTGAGAAAAATACAATTATTATAGGTTAAATAGAATAAAATCAATTCTTTAATTAACTTATTAGCACAAAAATCCGCTCGATTATTTATTTTACCTTTCAATTTCCCCTTTTTTATTTCCTAGACAACCGTCAACAAAATGACATTAATGTACCATATTTGACTTTATATTGCGATTGCTGGATTTAGAGTGACAAGGAACAAAGCAACATTCTAATTTTTTTTATACAACTTAGAATGCCAAACAAGCTTACGGCCCACCTGATGGAAAGTGATAACCGTCGTCTATAGACATGAGAAGTACCATGTACATAACAGAGTATACTATTTCCCCCATAACACACCCAAATCTGAGGATTCAGGTGTTATTCCTCTGTACCGTGTAAATTCACTGCCATATCCCACCTTTCAAACCGAAATACAGCCATGCAAACAACTGCTATTAGTAGAAACATGAATGAGACAGAGGTGTACAAGCAAACGACTTTTGTATGAAGTCTCCCTCTGGTTAATATATATTTAAGTATATTATGGCTTTACTTTTTTATTCACAGTGTACAATAACTTAGACCAGGCTCTATACAATTCTGAAACATCTTTTTAGCTGTTACTTTGTTCAATGATAGCTCTTTAACTTTACACACTTTATAACGAGAATATAACTATGTAAACTCCTGATATTTCAACGCCGTTACAAACCTCAAATTCTCAATCCAAGTTTGTTTCTTATCAAAATAAACGATCGAAGTTAAAAAATTGTTCCTTTGAAATCCTGTCTAAAGCCTATTATGACATTATGATCTGTCAATTGAATTGCCAACCTAAAAATAATAAATGTTACCTATTACTATCTTAACGTGCTAAGTTTTATGCTAATAAAACCCTAAATGTTTCCTATTTCTTTATTAAAGTTCCGAAAAATTCCAAATCTTTCCAATGTTTCCTATTTCTTTATATCCAATATAACACTATAAGTTACGATTTCTTACAGAATACTGTAAATCCGGTCAATGGTGTTTATCAAGGACCGACGAGTTCATCCCAAACACATATCAAACAAGGTAATTTTTTTTTTTAACTAAACTATATTTCTTCTAATCTTAATTCTAATCTCGATTCGACAATACTGAAATAGCATTTTACTTGTTTAAAATAAATATTACATATTCTTTATTATTATAATTTTTTGTACTACTTAAAAGAGCGAACCAGCTGACGGCCCACCTGTTGGAAAGTGGTAACCGTCGCCTATAGACATGAGCAGTACCATGGACATAACAGAGTATACTGTTTCGCCCATGATACCCCCCATGTGTTGCCATTCCTGAGGACTCAGGTGTTATTCCTCTGTAGCCTGTAAATTCACTGCCATATCCCATATTTCAAACGGAAACACAGCCATGCAAACATAGTCTTAGTATTAGTCTTATTATTTTATTCCATACCAATTTTTTAAATTTTTTTTTTATATTTAGACATGATTTTTTTTTTATATTCACCATGACATATTGACTTTTGCCCATCTAGTCATCTCTTATATATAATAAGAATAAATAAGAATACAATGTATTCTATCTACATTCGTCAGGATTTACATTACGGTATGTATTGTAAATCCTAACCACATGAAGATGTATTGTCTCCAATTCTTGTCTCTTTTTTTTATACTACTTAGAATGGCAAACAAGGTGACGGCCCACCTGATGGAAAGTGGTAACCGTCGCCTATAGACATGAGCAGTACCATGGATATAACAGAGTATACTGTTTCGCCCATGATACCCCCCATGCGTTGCGTCAAAATTATATCATACAAGTTTATGTGTAGGTGCAGAATTGTCACCGCAGGTTGAAATGGGCGCCGAGTGTCGTGAGCTGCCGACCCCCACGCGACCGCTGCCGTCACTGGAGGACATGGATGCGCCCAGTATGTTATCATTATTGTGTCGGCCTACCGCTTACATAATAATTATCTATGACAACATACGTAACATATTAAAAAGAAATCGTAATTAAGACGTTTTCGACTACAGTCCCTTATCTATCAGATCTTGCTGTTTTATTCTATAAAATTAGCCTAGTTCGGGGGCTAATAGATGTATCTAGGTGTAAATTGTTATTAAATAAAGAATTATCAATAATAAAAATAAGCATTACTACTCTTATACTAGTAAATTTCAATTATAAATCATAATTACACTTTCAAATTCTCCATACAACGCCATCTAGCGATAACGAAAGTATTCCACGTTATTTATACTTTTTTACTAGATGGCATAAATAACCGTGGCACGTGAACTGATAAACAACATTTCAATATTTATATGAATATAAATATTTATAAATTCATGAATATTTAATAAATAAATCACTTACAATAAACACGGACATTACACATGATTTCGATATTGTTCAAGTTCAATAAACAATTTTGAATGAATAAATATTATTTTAGAACGCTGTTGAGAAATTTGTCTGATGATAAGTGATATTTACAAATGGTAATTCAACAGTATTGCTCTAAATTACTAAAACAATCATTACTTTATCGTAACGTATAAATTATATGTAATAAATTTATTATTATTATTATTTATTTCAGTCCGTGTAGGTCCCGGCATAGAATAAGCCACCTCTTTCTTTCTCGTGTCGTTCTTACGCCTCTTGGCGAGTAAGGCAGCTTGTCGTGGAAGGATAGGCAGCAGCGTCCCTCTTGAAACATCGCCAGAAGCCAAACACTACGTTTTACTCTCCACTCAAGCTCCTTTTTTCCCCATCAGTTGTCGTTTATATATATATATATATATATATATATATATATATATATATATATATATATATATATATATATATATATATTTCGCTAGAAATCGCATGACGTAATGACGTATGATATCGCAGACTAATAAGTCGTTTGTTACACAGGAGCGATGTCCCTCTTCGTACCTGACACATCGTACTCTTCTTCGGAGGGGGAGGACGATTTCTACGACGCGGACGACGAGCCCGCCGACATCCCCCAGCCTGGACCCAGGTGAGAATAGCTTAGTGCTTGCGACGCGGCAATCAACGAGGTTAAGCAACAAATACATTTTATCAAAGGGAGACTTTGTATAGAAGTCGTTTACTTGGCTAGCTCTGTCCCATTCGTGTTTCTGCCGTGAAAGAGTTGTGTTTGCGTGGCTGTGTTTCGGTTTAAAGGGTGAGATAAAGCGGTGAATTTACAAGGTACAAAGGAATATCTCCTAAGTCTTAAAGAATGGAGGGTGTCATGGTACATGTCATCAGGGTATCATGGGCGAAACTGTATACTGTGTTGTGTCCATGATACTGCTCATGTCTATAGGCGACGGCTACCACGGTCAGTCAGGCGGGCCGTCAGCTTGTTTGCCATTTTAAGTTGCATAAAAATCTTTGTGTACTTATATATATATTAGTTGCTTTGTTATTTAATTTCTTGTGTATTTCCATGGGACTTCATGAATAAAACTTTATTTAAAAAAACTGTTATTGGCACTGGGGGGGGTCATGGGATGGGGGATGAGGGATCGTCAACCAACGTGATAACGAAACGTGCCGTTTGTCACGTTTATTACCGAGTCGTTCATACATTCTTTTGTGTTTACAATTGACGATTATTTATAAATATTGACTCGGAAAAAAAAACTGCCATGCAAACAAAACTGCTTCACGGTTAAAACACGAATGTGACAGAGGTACCCAAGCAATCGACTTTTGTACAAAATATCCCTTTGGTAAAGCTTCTGTGCTTCTGGGCGGAGCTGGGTTGGCTGTACTAGCCACGACTCATACGCACAACGGCTCAAATGAGAAGCTAAGCGCGGACAAGAGAGTCCAATTTACATTACATTAATAATACTTTTAATATTATTTTACCACCTTATTCATAAAAACATCTTACTCTCATTAAGCTATTTACAGTAATGACATTTTTTGTCTTTTTCTTTTATCCTAAATTCTTAATTTAAAACACTTCAATAGCTAAAGTAGGTATGTAAGTTTTTCTTTTTTTTTTATTTATAATTCGGGCGAGGGGAAAGGTATTATTAGTAATAGGATCTAACTGCCCTATTGCTAACAATATACCCCATCAGGTCAACCTCCACGCGGTTCCCCTGGCAACCATCTTGATTCATTCTTTATAAATTTGTCATTATGGGTTAACTGACCTGCTTCATCCTCACCTATCATCTCTGACCGGTATCCCGCCAGCGTATACCGATAGCGCAGGCGGAGTTACCATACCATTATCACTCTTAAAAAAGAACCTAATTCAGGCATCTCGTATTAAAGCTATTTACAAATTTACAGTACCTACATTTTCCAAAAGTCGATTGCTTGGGTACCTCTGTCCCATTCGTGTTTCAACCGTGAAGCAGTTGTGTTTGCATGGCTGTGTTTCGGTTTGAAGGGTGGGATATGGCGTGAATTTACTGGGTACAGAGGAATAACACCTGAGTCCTCAGGAATGGCAACGCATGGGAGGTATCATGGGCGAAACAGTATACTCTGTTATGATGGTTACCACTTTCCATCAGGTTGGCCGTCAACTTATTTGCCATTCTAAGTTGTATAAAAAAAATGTAGAATTTGGGCCTCTTACAGAAGGACGGACAAAGAGATCCTTTTATAAAGGACTCTCCTTACATATTTACTTTTGCTTCATGCACTTTAATAATTCATCTCATTCAAGCATCGAAAGTAAAATCCCGCATAATATTACTTTTTATTATACCATTATAATAACGCGATGCATTGTATTAAATGCAAAGTGTTCATGCATTAACTCAAGCACCGGCATCGCTAGGTCACGGGTCGACGAACCGTGTACAAACTTTGCATTCACTATCGTATGTTTGCGATTTATCAACTTGGAGTTCTCGTATGAAAAATTAAAACCCAATATAAAAAAAATGATTTTATATTATTATGATTGTATTTCTATATCTTACCAAGTTACTTAGAATTGAACCAATTTATTAATTTTATTCTTTATTGCACAATAAAACTTTATACAAATGCGAGCTTAATACCATGGCATTCTCTACCAGATAACCATTGGGTAAAAACAGAAAGCGTATGAAGGGCAGATGTGGTGAAAAATATGTGACAATTATAGCAACACATTTATACACTATATAAAATAACTAGCGGCCCGTCCCGGCGTCGCACGGCTGGACATTTATTTATTTATTTATTTACAGGATTACCAACATAAGATACAGCTAGAATAAAGCTAAGTTTTAATACAATACACTGGCAGCTCAGATCTCACCGTTCTTACATTTATAGGCAACCACAGCATGCCTTGTGTTTGACAAACATTAAAATATAATTAAATTATTAAATGAGTAAAGATATTAACAATATGAATAATAATATAATATAAATAATGGAAATTGTATTCAAATTATTATAAAATATAAATAAATATAATATAATGGGGAGGTATATCAACACTTTAATTTAGTCATGAATACAGAGTGACTATCACAGTGAATATCAAGTTCAGGCTTGGTTTTTACAATATCGTTATACAGACGCGTTATGCGGACGATAGGTGATTCGCGACCCAAGTTTGTTCGGCAAGCTGCATTTTTAAATAGATTACAAGGATGCCGCGGCACTCTAGTAGGTACATTGTAATCTAGTTTCCCCAGTAGAGGCAGGCAATCAATGTGATTATTCACTAACTTATGAAGATAAGACATGTCAAGGTAAGATCTGCGCAGGCATAGTTCATCAAGGTGAAAATGTTTAATTTTGTTTTTGTAGGTTTTCATATTTCTTGATATTTTAAAACGATAAGCTAGGCTACGAACGAATTTCCTCTGTATTCTCTCTATTCTGTCCTCATGTATCTTGTACATAGGTGACCACACTATACTGCAATATTCCATCTTGCTTCTGACATAGCTATTGTACAGTTGAATGACAGTGGATGGTTTCTTGAAACACCTTGTATTCCTAAGGATAAAACCCAATGATTTATTTGATTCATTTACAATTTTATCAATATGTTCCGAAAATCTTAGTTGACTGTCCATCAAAACCCCAAGATCTCGCACAACACTAACCTCTTGAAGCTGCTTACCCTCGATAAAATAATGCGATTGCAACTTCTTGAGTTTCCGTGTAAACTTTATGTGGTAACATTTTGAAGTATTTAAATACATTTTGTTATTATTACACCATTTGATTAAATAATCGATGTCCTTCTGAAAACATTCCACATCTGATGGTTTTGTTATTATCTTCATCATTTTAAAGTCATCAGCGAATAGGTATCCATTACTATGCTTAATATTTTGCATAATATCATTAATGAAGACATTGAAGAATAGAGGTCCTAAAATAGAGCCCTGAGGCACACCTGAGGAAGCCACAATGGAGGATGATTGAACACCGTCAAATACTACTCTCGAGGAACATTTTTAACATTTCCCTTCACTGCTCTGCTCCTATTGATCGTAGCGCGATGAAAGTATACTATAACCTGCCCAGGAGTATGAAGAATAATTCTACCAAGTTTCGTTAAAATCCGTCGAGTAGTTTTTGTTTCTATAACGAACATACAGACAGACAGACAGACAAAAATTTTACTGATTGCATTTTTTACATCAGTATCGATCACTAATCACCCCCTGATAGTTATTTTAAAAATATATTTCATGTACAGAATCGACCTCTCTACAGATTTATTATAAGTACAAATTTTATATACTTAAAAAATCATTCTTTTTTTTCTGATAAAAAAAAAAAAGAATTATTCAAAACCATTTAAAACTGGCAGAGTTATAAGGTAACAAGCATAAAAAAAACCTAATTGAGATCCTCCTTTTATTTGAAAACGGTTGAAAATTAGTATTTACATTATTGATATTAACATACCTAACTCTAAAAAGACACTAGCAGACGGCTAGAAACCCTTATCAGTCGTTATAACTATAAAAAAGGGTTCAGACGTCATTCCCAGCTATGGCGTCGTAAACATGTACCCCGTCCTATATCCGGGTTAGCAACGAAGTGCATTACTGGGTCAGTAGCCGGCCGACTAAAATATACACGGCTGTTGAACTGTGAACTCGATTCGACTGCTGAAAATACGCAATCCTACAACCGGACAGTTTTTTGTTAACTGTTTCCCTTTGTATTTATAATAACGACTCGCTATTGGCCCGCTACTTTGTATGCGTGGATTTCAGAAGTAGAAAAATCTGTCCTATTTGTGTTTCTACCGTGAAGCAGTTGTGTTTGCATGACTGTGTTTCGGTTTGAAGGGTGGGATATGGCAGTGAATTTACAGGGTACAGAGAAATAGCACCTGAGTCCTCAGGAATGGGAACGCATGGGGGGTATCATGGGCGAAACTATATACTGTGTTATGTCTATGGTACTGATCGTGTCTATAGGCGATGGTTACCACTTTCCATTAGGTGGGCCGTCAGCTTGTTTGCCATTCTAAGTTGCATAAAAAAAATGGTGACCACTTCTAGCTGTCATAACAAGATAAAAGATATACTAAATTTTAAATTAGTCCTTCAGAAATACAGCTGCGAAACAGTATCTTATTCGTGCAATAGTTTTTACGTAATGCTGGAATAAACATACAAACGGACAAAATTTCTGACACACAATGGATGTCGCAGTTCTTTGGTCACCTCCTCCCTTTATATCCTACTATTTATGTCTACGTTCATATTATTTATTTATTTATTGCACAATAAAATTTGTACAAATGGCGGACACAATACCGTATGGCAATTTTTACCAATTAACCATAAGGTAAAAACAGAAAGCGTTTGAGGGTAGTGGTAGCGAACATATGCAAGAATTAATTTTACCTATTAATTTAAATCAACATAATAATAAATATCGTACCAAATAATGTTGTAAATATATACAATATACAAAGTACATGCATATATGAATATGTATGTGTATATATACACTTATACATTTACACAGTGATAAGGTGATACACCTATTTACCTATTAATTAACACATAGTAT